GCTTTGGACTCAGTCTGACCCTTATGTTTCCCTCCCCTTATGGTTTTGATCTATGGGCTACTTTTAAAATGAGGCTGCATTTTAAATTGCATTTTAACCTGTATTTTAAATTGGTTTTCCCTCCCTTATTATGTTTTTACTGTAATTTTACTGGTGTTAGCCGCCCTGAGCCCGGCTTTGGCTGGGGAGGGTGGGGTATAAATAAATTTTATTATTATTATTATTATTATTATTATTATTATTATTATTAGAAAGCTGCATTCTGCAATTTGACGAAGTATTTCCTCTTATTCTGCTAGTATTAGAGAGAGGTTAGCATGAACCATACAAGACACGCATTTGGCTTCCCTACAACCATCAGACCAACTTCCTTCTCGTTTTTGAAAATTTTGGCAGGCATTGCCCATTTCAATATTAAATTCAGCACCTGCTGCAGAACTGTGAAATACACACAGCCCTGTGTATTATGCGTACCAGCCTCTGTCTTTAGCATCAGACATAGCCAAGAACCTGTGATTTCATGGCTGACGTGGCATGAAGTGAAGATGTATGTGCAGTGGTACCTCGGGTTAAGTATTTAATTCGTTCCAGAGGTCCGTACTTAACCTGAAACTGTTCTTAACCTGAATCATAGAATCATAGAGTTGGAATAGACCACAAGGGCCATCGAGTCCAACCCCCTGCCAAGCAGGAAACACCATCAGAGCACTCCTGACATATGGTTGTCAAGCCTCTGCTTAAAGACCTCCAAAGAAGGAGACTCCACCACACTCCTTGGCAGCAAATTCCACTGTCGAACAGCTCTTACTGTCAGGAAGTTCTTCCTAATGTTTAGGTGGAATCTTCTTTCTTGTAGTTTGGATCCATTGCTCCGTGTCCACTTCTCTGGAGCAGCAGAAAACAACCTTTCTCCCTCCTCTATATGACATCCTTTTATATATTTGAACATGGCTATCATATCACCCCTTAACCTCCTCTTCTCCAGGCTAAGGACCACTTTAGCTAATGAGGCCTCCTGCTGCGGCCGCGCCACCAGAGCACGATTTCTGTTCTCATCCTGAAGCAAAGTTCTTAACCCGAGGTACTATTTCTGGGTTAGCGGAGTCTGTAACCTGAAGCGTATGTAACCCGAAGCATATGTAACCCAAGGTACCACTGTAATCCAAACCAGAAGAGCTGTCACAAGTTAGCCAGGATAAAAAATAATGTTAACAATGGTGAAAATGGCCTTACATCTTCATTGTCACTGTCCAGGCTGCCTTTCTTTTTCTTCTTTTTCTTCTCGTCCTCTTTCTTCTTCTTGTCCTTTTCTGGAATGACGTCGTCGAGGAAACTGAGGTCATGCTGTGAGAAGAGGTAGTCCATCGCCTTTCTGACTGCCACCAGCGCCAGGATCTATCAGGACAGAAGCCAGCACGCCCTTACTGACATGCAACATCTCCCCCACCATTCTGGCACCAAAGCTTACCTTCTTTGCCTCACCTGATCCAACGTAGGGCTCCTCCCTCAGCCTCCGGGCTGGTAAAGAAAGGGTTAACAATATTTGAAACCTGAGCAGCCGCTGCAGTCAACACGGCTTGAAATGGATCGGAAGTTCCACCACTCAGATTCCAGGTTTCAATTTCTCGAGTCACCCGCAGGTTGGAAATAAATGGTACAATATTCAGAGATCATGATGTCAAGTGCCGCTTGTAAACTCTGCAACAGGCAGAGCTGCAAAATTGCACTGTCTTTATTGGAGATGTTCAGGAGAATGAGACAGGATAAAAAAAAAAAAAAGAATGGCAAGCACAAGGATTTCCTAGCCTCACTTTGTAATTTGCAGCAAAGGGACCCAAACATAATTTGCATGACCGCCTCAACCTATGGGACGACTACCTCGGAGTGCTCTTATAGCAAAAACAAGTCTGGCAAGAGACATTCTGCACATGGATAGCTTTTAGCTGAGACCTTGTATAGCTGTGCGGCATATTGTATAGATCTGTGGCTTTGAGGAATATCCACCAGGAAGCGGGGAGAGGTGGGGAGGCAAGCCTCAGTTTATCTTATGTACAGACAGCGTAGAGGCAGCTGAAGGTAAGGGACATGATGGTTCCCCTATCTGGAAATCATTATTTATTATTTTATTGAATGTCTGCACCGCCCTTCATCCAAGGATTACAGGGAGGTTCACAATATAAAAACACAAAAATACATGAAACAGTAACAAATAAAAACAATCGCCCATGATACATCAGAGTTTAAAATTCCACAGATGGTCTATTAACCTGAGCATTGTCTTTAGAGGAAGGGGAGTGACTGGGGAAGGAAGAAATAACCAGCAGGAGTGATACCCTTTCAAAACTGAAATGTGAACATGGGCCCAAAAATGTTGACACTCTTTGATGCAAAGTGATGCACATTGGAACAACAACAAAAGCCCTAATGACTGCACATAACTGAATTTGCCACAATTACTCAAGAATACAGTGGTACCTTGGTTTACAAACTTAATCCATTCCGAAGTCTGTTCTTAAACCAAAGCGTTCTTAAACCAAGGCATGCTTTCCCATAGCAGTGGGGGACTCAATTTACAAATGGAACACATTCAACAGGAAGCGGAACATGTTCTGCTTCCAAGGCAAAGTTCACAAACCAAAACACCTACTTCCGGGTTTGCAGCGTTCTTAACCCAAGTTGTTCATAAACTAAGCTGTTCTTAAACCAAGGTACCACTGTAGTATGAAAATGTCCACTCAGTGAAGGTCAATTTTTCTGCCCTCCACTCCTTTCCCCTACCCCTGTATTGCTGCCCTGAGGAAACCACCCAGTACTTAAGGAAAGAAGAAACAGAAGGAACTAGTAAAACTTTCCCATATTACCAAAACTCTAGCCTACAACTACCGGGCTTCCTCAACTTGAAAAAAAATATCGCTGCTATTATGCCTGATCAGATAACGGAAAAAAAACAAACCTGAAATATATGGCTAATCAACACAAATTAAAGCTACAAATTATTAGCCACTGACTCCTGAAAGGTATAGAATCCAACTGCAAGAGGACACCTCTCTTTTTGCAAAATAGGAAAGACAGAGACTTCTCAGCGGAAGACTGGTCCAGGTTATGTATAAACTATGAATAAGTGATGAATAAACAAGGCAAAACAAAGAACGTTGGCCATCTTACCAGCATACCTAATTATTTGATATCCACCCATCCCTCCTTTCAAACATCCTTTGAAAACCTCTACAACATGAGGGTTCCCCTACCCCTTTCAATCAATCAGCATTTACACAGGTGAGTTTTGTGGGTGGTTTTTTTTTTTAAGGAAAAAGAAAGGCTTGTTCTCTATCTCACACTGCATTATTAAACTTAAAGGTAAAGATAAAGGGACCCCTGACCATTAGGTCCAGTCATGGCCGACTCTGGGGTTGCGGCGCTCATCTCGCTTTATTGGCCGAGGGAGCCGGTGTACAGCTTCCAGGTCATGTGGCCAGCATGACTAAGCTGCTTCTGGCAAACCAGAACAGCGCACGGAAACGCCTTTTACCTTCCTGCCAGAGCGATACCTATTTATCTACTTGCACTTTGAGGTGCTTTCAAACTGCTAGGTTGGCAGGAGCAGGGACCGAACACTGGGAGCTCACCCCGTCGTGGGGATTCAAACCACCGACCTTCTGATCGGCAAGTCCTAGGCTCTGTGGTTTAACCCACAGCGCCACCCACGTCCCTTATTAAACTTACTTTTCAGCAAAATAAATTTGTTCAAATTGTTTCCGTCTTTGGACAGGGAAGGAATAAGGTTGTGGAACTGTGTCACTGATCAGCAAGGCAAGTCAGGCGGCGCTAGAAGGAAGGATGGGTGCAACAGGTGGCAGTCATGATCACACCAACCTACCATGACTGGGAATATGATAGCAGCCACTGTAGACTTCAAGATCCAAAGGAGAGCCAGACACACCACTTGGAGGAAAGTGAAGAGGTGGACCCGGCGAAGGGGGACATGGCGCAGGTAGATGAAGTCAGGCTGGTGCTTCAGAGGCATCAAGAGCAGCTTCAGGCGGTCCATGAACTGGGGTGGAGAAAGGAGAAGGAGCAGAGTTCAGCAGTGTGGTGCTGGCATGCGCCAATGCAGAAAAAGCAAACGCTAGGTTTAGTTTTGCTTCTAGCACCTGACTGGGAAATCAACAAGGCTTTGGTACTGCTTTAAGGCTCAAAAGAGGTGGGAGCTGCAGGATCCTCTCCTCAAATGCACAAGTGCCATCGTGCAGGTTTTCTGCAGTGACAGGAGGGCTTCCCCAGTGGTCAGCCTGAGACTTCTGGCGGTTCCCTCACTGCGAGAAGTGAGGTTACAGGGAACCAGGCAGAGAGCCTTCTTGGTAGTGGTGCCTGCCCTGTGGAACGCCCTCCCACCAGATGTCAAGGCAATAAACAACTATTTTACTTTTAAAAGAAGGCGGCCCTGTTTAGGGAAGTTTTTAATGTCTGGCGCTGTGTTGTTTTTAATATTCAGTTGGAAGCCGCCCAGAGTGGCTGGGGAAACCCAGCCAGATGGGTGGGGTATAAATAATAAATTATTATTATTATTATTATTATTATTATTATTATTATTGATTCGCTTGGAAATAAACCAAGCTAATTCTCAGTGGGAAAATAATAATAACCTGGGTTAGGGTTGTATACAATGTTGGTCCTACCTGGAATAGGTCTATTGAGATTAATGGTCACGACTAACTTATGTCCATTCATTGCAAGGGTTCTGCTCTAACTCTCGAAATTTCCAAGCCAAGCCAACTTGGGAAGTCACGCACTTCCACCCTCCTTCCCAGACACGCTGACTGTCAACCCCCCACCCCAGCTTCATCAGCACCCTAATGCCCCATCCCTGCACCTCATTTCCACTTATCCCAGTCATTGTTGCCCAACAGAAGTGTGATTCAAGGCAAAGGGGATGTTTGAGATCATAGAGTTGGGACCACGAGAGTCATCTAGGTTTACACCCCTGCAATGCAGGTATCTTTTGCCCAAAGTGGGGCTCAAATCCACAACCTCGAGATTAAGAGCTGCACATTCTACTGACTGAGCTACCCCAGGCTCAAGCAAATCTTTTTCAGCTTTGATTTTAATCAGAGTCAAATGAGCATTATGAGATTTGTAAAAGCTTGCTCCAAATCTGAGGTGGGTTTTCGCCTGAACTCAGATGAACTTCACCATCACCGTCACTCCTTTTCAGAGCTCTTAGTCCCAGCCTAGCCACCACTGATACGAACGTGCCAGGGCCAGCCCAAGACATTTTGGCACCTGAGGCAAAACACAAAATGGTGCCGCAAAAGCACACATCCAGGCAAGGAGGAAGAGGTGATCTACATTGAGGAGACCAGCAGCACCTTCTACTTCCCAAGAGGCCACCGTAAAGGCACAACTGAGGAACGATGCATTCCTTGGAGGCTGAATCTGCTGCCGCTGTGGATGCTGCAGCCGAGGCAATTGCCTCACCTTGCCTCATGGGTGTGCCGGCCCTGGAACACGCACACATCGTAGTGAGGCAGGAGGAACCCCCTGTATGCATAATGGAATTGTTGCCACAAGGACAGGACGATGTGCAACTCAAGTTTTAGCTTTGTGTAACCTGAGAACCAGTGAGTGTTCCTGCAGTGTGTTGTTCTAGGAAAAGATGCTCCCTCGTCTATTTAGTTAGCTTGTATGCCTGTGCTGAGAACCAACCTCCCCTCCTCGGTCCTCCTCACTTTCCTCCACTTGAGTGATGGCCTCAGTAAAGGCCTAAGAATTAACAATAAACTATTTGTCCTCTGGCAGCGCCCTGGCCCGCTGCCCACAGCTGGCTGACTCTGAAGCCAGATTAATCTCAATCCAGTGAATGAAACCAAGGCCCAAATAAATCTCTAGGGGAGGACACAAAACATGCACTCCTTTTTCTATTAAGCACAGAAGAGCAATGCAATTAACAAGGTGCCAGAAAGTTAACAGAAACATGACCAGCTTTTCCTGGTGCCAGTTCCAAGATGCTAGGCTCTCCGAGGCAAAGAGCTTTCGTGCAGCGTTTTCTCAAGCGACAAGACAATCATTTTAAAAAGTGGTCGAGGTTTCAAGATTTGCCAAGTTTTATGAACCGCAAGCTTCCCATGAGCTTATGCCAACTCAGCCACATCAGCGCAAGCCTCTTCATAAATAGGAGGGAGGCGGTCTCATTTTAGAGGCAAGGCTAAAATTCATCATACGGCTACAGAGCAGGCCCCTATGACAATTGGACCTCCTGGTATAAAACCGCATTCTACAGTTAGATTCCCTTGAATTAGGTGGCAGATGAAGATTTCGTGGCCCCATCCGCATGACACATTTAAAGCAATTTCATACCACTTTAAGGAGCTAATGTTTTCCCGCTACCACAGGATATAATGATGATTTAAATATACAATACAGATGAAGTCTGTGTTCAGAAGGTTTTTCCTGAAGTGTGATCCAGTCATATCATGGAATTTTAACTATGCATCTATAGAAATGTTCTTACTGTCTGTTTGTTTTAAAATTGGTAGAAATGGTTTTGTTTTTAAGAGTCATTTTTTCTGCATTTGATCTCATTTTATCTTACTGTGCACTACATCCGTAACTTCAGGCTGTGAAGCAGTTTACACATTTGCAAAAAAAGGAAGTACACAAATTTCAGCCACTACGTTCCAGAACCAGGAGTTCTCAGTTGTGCTGTTTTTCCTCCAGAGATAAATGATTAGAACTGCAAACCAATTATCTATGTTGCTTTCTATAGAGTTCAAAGAGAAACATAGGGGGCCAGTAAAAGACCCCAGTATAAGAATGTGGGTCAGTAAGAGGGGCATTAAACCTACCAATGTCATGCTTAGTTGGACAGCTCTCCTTGCTTTTCCTGATACCCTGACCCTGCTGATATTAACAGGCTTAGCTTTGAAGCTAATTCTTTTTTTAAAAAAACCATTAATAATACATGTATTGTTTTAATTAATAAAGCATGTATCGTTTCAGGGCAGGGCCGGATTAAGGTTTGATGAGGCCCTAAGCTACTGAAGGTAATGGGGCTCTTTATATGTTCAGCTGTCCTTTACCAACAACAAATTGTCACTTTTTTGTGTTGAATATGCTATATGGTAATTTATGGACCTAATAGGTATCTAAAGCCATTTGCACATGTTGCCATGCAACCAGTACATGCAGAATGTAGGCACCCTATATATAGAAATGAGCAAACCTGTGATATTTTAGGGAGCAGGCTAGCAGGCGGGGCCCATGACTTACATCATAGGAGCCTACACAACACAAAACACTGTTGCTGTATGTAGGTTTTATTCTATTTGTTTTTTATCTTATATTTCGGAAATGTACATCCAGTGTTGTTTTTTTCCTTTACATTTTTTGGGGGCCCCCAAGAGAGTGGGGCCCTAAGCTATAGCTTGTTTAGCTTATACGTAAATCCAGGACTGTTTCAGGGAATGGTATAAATCTGCACCACAGTCCTGTACTTTGTGTGTGTGTGGTGCACATACTGGTCAATTTTCTGCATGCCTTTCCAAATGAGAACGAGATGGAAGACGAGAGAGCAGGAGACGATGTTAATCAAAATAAACAGAGTTCCAGAAGAGGAAACATATTGGCACGCAGCTGGAAGATGGCAACAATGGGGTCTCCTGCACCTTATTGGCCAACTGACTAATTGAGCCATGTGCTTTATTTCCAGGAGCTGAATGACCTACTTCAGATGTGTGAGAATGAGGAGGCTGGTTAATGTTTACCATCTTTCCCGACAAGGGACTTCTATAACGTGCACCCCACCAATCGGAAGACCTTGGGTTGCCAAGGAGAAAGCTTACCTGAACTCCATTAAGGGAAGCGACGCCCATATATAGAAACACGCCATAGAGCACAGGCATGGGAATAAACTAAAAGTGGGAGAGAGAGAAAAAACATGAAGTAAGCAATTCCGGGCACAATTCAAAGTGTTGGTGCTAACCTTTAAAGCCCTAAACGGCTTCAGTCCAGTATACCTGAAGGAGCATCTCCACTCCCATCGTTCAGCCCGGACACTGAGATCCAGCGCCGAGGGCCTTCTGGCGGTTCCCTCGTTGTGAGAAGTGAGGTTACAGGGAACCAGGCAGAGGGCCTTCTCGGTAGTGGCGCCTGCCCTGTGGAACGCCCTCCCACCAGATGTCAAGGCAATAAACAACTATTTTACTTTTAAAAGACAACTGAAGGCAGCCCTGTTTAGGGAAGTTTTTAATGTCTGATGCTGTATTGTTTTTAATATTCGGTTGGCAGCCGCCCAGAGTGGCTGGGGAAACCCAGCCAGATGGGCAGGGTATGAATAATAAATTATTATTATTATTATTATTATTATTATTATTATTATTACCCAAAAGAAGCAGCAGCAACTATATCAAAGGATATGCAGAGCACAATTGCTAACTGCAGTAACAGGCACAAGCCACTATATGGCAGGCAGTGCTTACTCAATGACCCTCCTGAACTACTTTATATTCTCCTGCTTCCAGATATTGTGCTCACTTTTAAGCACCTCCAGTGCACAGCAAAGTAAGACACACACAAAAAGCACATGCCAGGAACTTTAAGGAATTCAGTTCATTCCCTATTGCTTTAATAATCTCTTAAAGATCTGACCTGCAGGAGAACACATGACCCCAGTGTGTTGAGGAAAGAATGCTCTTTACTACAATCACAGTGAATTGAACATGACCAACTGCACGGTCAAGAGTGAAAAGCCCTGGGGGCTTCTCTATGTGCTCAGGATGGAGGGGGGGGGAGACATGATCCAAATGTCTCAGGATTACTTCAGAATGCAAGGTTGGGAACGTATGTTTAAATGCCCAGGTGGCATGACAAACAACGAGTGAACTGACGGAGGTATCGCAACTTGCATACGAGACAATTTGAAATTCACCCCGTGGGGAGCACCTCAGCAGCCACAACTAAACTCCAACCTGGTTTCTTATGACCTTGAAAGAACTCCCTAAGCTGCTCATCTTTAGAAATTCCTGTCTGGCTTGGCCTGACCTGAGCTCTAACTGGCCTCTCTCATTTCTTCCCCGTCCCAACTCTGCAGGTAGTTTTACTGCTACGTGCATAGATCAAAAAAGACTCTCCAGTTGCTATTTCTGCTCAAATGTCCTGAGGGCATATTTATTTTTTAAAAGGAGGTATTAAATCACTTTTTGAATTTTCCCACAATGGCATCATCCTGGAACGTTTCATGCTTTCTCTAATTTTTCTGTTTTAAAAAAGAAAATGCTCCATTTTCTAGAGCGGGAGATGTCAGCCAAGACAGGAAGGGAGGCCTAGGTGCATGGAAAACAACGAAACTGAGCTTCCATGTACAGAGGCACTGTATGGCAAAAAGCTCTTGCCACCATGCCTTGCGTTGCTGCTTCAGTGATCCACCGTCAGATTTCGTGGCTATGTTTTATGCTTCAGGGTTTGGTTACAAATGATTATATAGACCCATGCACTGGTAATGCAATTCTACCTCATCTGTTAATGAACAACCCAGAAGCTGGAGGACTGGTTGAAAAAGTTCTCTCTTTTTTTAATTAAAAAAAGGAATAAAAGAATTAAAGAGGATACAGGCTGTGCACTCTTGCCCTTGCCTTCTTGGTCAAGCAGGAAAAACAACATTTAAGACGCTGCACCTCTTTTTAAAGACATAGAATGCTGCTCACACGTTGCCCTGATCTGCTCTTCGTACTCAATATGCTATTCCTACCCAAGGTTGCAAACAGCACTAACTGCTTTATAGCGAGTCAAGCCATTTGTTCAGCTGGTGGGTCACAGCCTAACTTAAGGTGACCTGCAGCAGCAATTTTGCTACTCTGTCATTGTTTTGGGGCTCAGTTTCATGATTTCAATTGTTCTAATTGTATTTTTGTTGTTGTTGTTACCTGCCACAAGCCGTTTGGCTATGAGCACAAAATAATAACTAGTGATATGAGCCTGCAAAGCGGAAAGAAATAAAACAAAACAAAAAAACGCCATGCCCAGATTTGAAACATATAACCCTTGCAAATTCGGGGAAATTGCATTTCAGCACCACCAGGTTAAATCACGAAGGATGGAACTGCATGTTACGAGCAGCTCAGGGCTGCTACCCAAACCAGGAGCCTGCTGTCCACGCCAAGTTCCTCCCTCTATGTCAGGGGTCAGCAACCTTTTTCAGCCGTGGGCCGGTCCACTGTCCCTCAGACCATGTGGTGGGCCGGACTATATTTTGAAAAAAATATACGCACGAATTCCTATGCCCCCCAAATAACACAGAGATGCATTTTAAATAAAAGGACACATTCTACTCATGTAAAAACACGCTGATTCCCAGACCGTCTGCGAGCTGGATTGAGAAGGCGATTGGGCCGCATCCGGCCCCTGGGCCTTAGGTTGCCTACCCCTACTCTATGTTGTATGCAGTACTATAACCCTCACATCCTAGAATCATAGAATGGGGGGGGAGAGAATTTTTCTATATGCAAGTACAGCTGCTAGAATAGTGATTGCTGCAAACTATCCCCACAAAGGATGGATGGCTTTGTAAACTAAATGAATATTTAATTTTGGCAAAATTAACTGCTATAAGAAGAAATCAGTCGAATCAAAAATTTAAAAAAAGGTGTGGAAATGTTCTGATGAATATACGGCAAAATATTGCTCAAAAAAAAGAAGATATGCTAATATGCCTAGATTAAAATGTGAAGTACTGGATGGAAGAAAAATGAGTAAGGAAAGATCATAAGAATATATAGATGATTTGAGAAGACTATAGAATGCGAAGATTATTGTAAATTGTATAATGTGGAGGAAATTGAGCGGGGGGGGCGGAGGGAAGTGGGAGGAGGGAGAAATGAATAATATGATGGATTGAGGCAATATAAATGTAAATGTATGGGGGGGATGGGGAAGAAATGGTGTTGGCTTTGGTAGATTTGTAATGCAATATGTGAAAACCAATAAATAAATGAATAAATAGATAGAATGGTAGGGGTGGAAAGGAACATGAGGGTCATCTAGTGCAGCCCCCTGCGATGAAGGAATCTTTTGCCCAATGTTGGGTTCGAACCCATGACCCTGTGATTAAGAGCCTCATGCTCTACTGACTGAGCTATCCACAGTGGCCAACCAGATGGTTCTACTATGGGTTTCCCTTGATGTGGAACAAGGGTGGAGAACTGCGTAGCATGACATAGCATGAGGTCAAGGAGGGATAATTTGCAAAACATTATGGGCTGGGCAGTGCTATTTTTGGTGACAGGCTTGTTCTTCAGACATCCTGGTAGGGGTTTTCCAAGTGAAAGGTGCATCATGCTTTTCAAACTGAGGGAGGCACATTCCCTGCAAGTGTTGTGGCAACTCTTCAATAGTTTGCCAAAAACACTTTTGCCCTAAAATGTTCTTGCCTGCCCTCTGTATGACTTTGCTCCCGAGAAACATTATTACTCTACAAAGGCAATGACGTTTTGAAATTCTTCTTTTACAGTAATTTATTACAGCTCCTTAAATGTGTTAGAAAAACCCTTCCACCTGTTTATGGCAGACTTAGTAGCTTTCTCAAAACAGACACACACAGCTCAGCGTTGGGTGGAGGGTGAAGCAGAGGCAAAAATGTTGAGCAATCATTTACCTTCAGAATGGGAGCCATGAAGACTGAAATGCCCGTCAGAATGAACACAATCACTCCAGTCACTCTCTGCTCCCTGAAATAAAAGCCAGCAATTATCAGACCAGTTCCTATTAGGAGTTTTTCACCGTCATCCGAAGATCGCGAATTGCCACGAAGAAATATTATATACACAACTGACTGGAGGGCCTTTTATCTCTTAATTTCTTTGGGCTGCACTACTGAGCTAGGTTTCCTCCTACTCTCTGCGTAAGACTCAGATTATGGGCCCTGCTCCCTAAAGAGTGCCACTCTTCTCCAGTTGCCCAATGTCAGGGCCGGCCCTGCTGGCATACCTGACTCCCAGGAACTTGGGTTGCTCCCCAGGTGCAGACGTCTCCGTCTCCATCTTCAAGCTGTCAATGTGCGCGATGGAGATGACCGTAGCAGCAACGTACCAGGGAAGGCCCATGAAGGAACATATAATCATCAACACAGCGACCAAGAACAGATCCAGATGATAGCCAGCACCTTTCTGCAAAGAGGAAAGAAGAGGAACAGTGGTAGGGTGCTTGCTGCATGTGATGGGAAGCCATGCTGGAAGAAGCACAGAATCATTACAGGATCAACCTTGACCCTGTTTGCTAACTTAATTATCTTTGAAACGGCTGGATGAGGTCTCCAGAAATGGCTCTATGCAGTGGAGAAGCACATGCAAACAAGGAAAGGGGCTTATTTTTTATTTGAAAAGTTGCAAGAAAAGGTTCCTGGGCAGGCAGGGCATAATTTAAAGTTCCTGGTGGAGGACAGCCCAGGTATGTTTAGTTTAGAGAAGAGGAAATTAAAGGAGAGACAAGGCAAGTGTCTTCAAATATTTGAAGGGGTGCCATGCCTGAAGGAATGGAGCAGAATTGTTCTCTGTTGCTGCAGAAGGCAGGGGGTAGAATCAATGGGTGGAAATCACAGGGAATCAGATTTTAGCTTAACTTTAGGAGAGGCATCTTAGGGGTAAGAGATGTTTGACAATAGAACAGACGGTGTTGGACTCTCCTTTGCTGGTGGTATTTAAGCAGAGCCAGAGCTGAGCATGCTGTAGGGTTATCCTTTACTGCAGATCTGCACTGAGTTTTGCTCCAGAGAAAGGCAAGTGCTCAACACAGGCCACCACCTGATATCTCAGTGCAAACAGAAAGCAACCATTGTTTATGGAATGGTCAAATTGGATTGTAACCTACATATATGGCTATGTTTGACCTCAAGACCCACCTTTAGCTAAATCCATATATCATCTTACCCACCCACCAGTTTCGATGCATACCAATTCTCAAGACTGCACAATGGCTGGCTCGCTGAAGGAACCTAAAAGCCAGGGTTGTGAAACTGTGTTTTTTTGGTAAGGCAAATATTATAGGTGTGACTCACTCAGCTGCAAAAACACAAGGAACTTGGAACCTATTAAACAAATTACAGAGCACACCTGATTCCCACAGAGGAGGTAAACACTGAGGTGGTACTTGGGTCCAGGCTGTGCATTTCAAACTGCAGGCAGGGGCTCACGTGGCTGAATGGGAAAGGGCAGGGATCTCTACACAGAGAAAACTAGCATGACAAAGAGAAGACCAGATCTGAACTCTTCCTTCTGATGGAACTGGTCTTTCATATACAGTCATACCTCGGGTTGAAGTAGCTTCGGGATGAGTATTTTCAGGTTGTGCGCCACGGCAACTCGGAAGTAACGGAGCGCGTTACTTCTGGGTTTTGCCGCTTGCGCATGCGCAGACGGTCAAAATGACGTCACGCGCATGCGCGGAAGCAGCGAATAGCGACCCACGGATGCGGGTTGCGTTCGCTTCAGGATGCGAACGGAGCTCGGGAACAGATCCTGTTCGCATCCAGACGTACCACTGTAGAGGGGACTTTGGGGGCAGTATGGAGCATCACAAGGGCCTCCACCCACAGTATGAAAAAGAGTTTGTATTTGATATCCCGCTTTATCACTACCCGAAGGTGTCTCAAAGCGGCTAACATGCTCCTTTCCCTTCTTCCCCCACAACAAACACTCTGTGAGGTGAGTGGGGCTGAGAGACTTCAAAGAAGTGTGACTAGCCCAAGGTCACCCAGCAGCTGCATGTGGAGGAGCAGGGAAGCGAACCCGGTTCACCAGATTACGGGTCTACTGCTCTTAACCACACCACCACACTGGCTATTGTATGAAGTACAATATAGCCCATAAATGAAGATCTGCCATCTCAGTGACAATTGGGTCCTTGTTTATCTTTCAGCAAATCCTCCCCTCTTGACTGCATCCTCTTCCTTGTTACTGATATGCACTTTAACAGGAAGCTATTTCTGCCAAGGCGAGTAGCCCTGGTGTGTGGTGAACTGAACACTAATTGGAGCCTGGGAACAGACTCCTGGCCTCTTCTGCCGAAACCCCCGAGGAGCAACCAATCCTGAATTCTGTGGGTTTGTTTGTTCTTCCACAACTGGCAGAGAGTAGTAGGTTCTGTTCTCCCCATTGCCTCCCCACACGTCACATGAGCCTTATAAATCCAGCATCCACGGAGTGGGAGATGGGCCTCGCTAAGAGATGCCATTATTATCATTTACATAACACCATTAGCGCACATGGCAATGTAGGCTCTTTGGCCTGAGAAATCTAAATCTAAATTCTGACACAAGGAGAAGTGGGGGGAGAGAAAATGAAGGTTAACAGGATGAATGTGCACAAACGCAGTGGGCTTCAGCCTTGTTTCAATTCCTGGTGATGACTAAGGAACAAAGCTCCATTAACTACGGAGCTTTTCATAGAATCACAGAACTGTAGAGTTGGAAGGGTCCCTAAGGGTCATCTAGCCCAACCCACAGCAATGCAGGAAGCTCAGCCAGATTCAGCTGGGGTCTGAATGGGACGAAGGATAGAGGCAAGAAGCGGTACCACCCAGGTGTTTTAAGAAGTTTGGGCGTAAGAATGGGTGCAGCAAAGAATGGGTGTGATCCAGTGTTCCCCAAACTGGTGCCTCCAATGTGTTTTGGACTACAGTTCCCATCATCCCTGACTGCTGGCTGGGGCTGATGGGAACTGTAGTCCAAAGAAGCCAGACGGTACTAGATTGTGGGTGGCTTGCATAATCATTTGGCAGAACGGAAGCTCTATGCGCAGCTGGCAGCATATGAATTGGAGTTATAAAGGCTGTTGAGAGTCTGATTTAAAAATGTGCTCAACTATAATCAAGATATAAGGAAAAGGGGGAATGAATATGATGCCACGGATGGGAACTCCGAGGCCCAAGGTGGCTAACAACCCATTGAAATCAAGCCCTCCTAGCCACTAATAACATGGCCTACTATATGAGCTTGGACAGATGGGGCTCATCCACCTGGGAAGAGAAACCCATCTAGGAAAAGGGAAACTCTGATCCTAAACCTCCACTGCCATGCGGGATATCTTTGGGAGAAGAAAAGGCTAAGGAATAACTCCTACACAAATCCAGAATGGAGTCCCTAAGACGGTTGGATGATGCCTTGTATGCCTCCTTCCGGCAACTCCTGCAGCCAAGCTGGTGCCAAATGTCTTGCTCTGCTTTCCTCTGGACCACATCAGCAAAACCAAGAGGCGGGTCTTGTCGTCTGGGCAGCCCAGGACCTCCACACACACTGCCCAAGCTTGTACCCAGGGCTAATGCTGCGGTTTGACTTCACCTCCAGAGGCACACCCCACGCTGCTCAAATGTTCATTTTGCTTTGGCCAAGTTGAGATGACAAACATTTTTGTTGCCCAGAGTTGTCCCTATGGTCCTAAATAGCAAAACAGCAGCAGCAGCAGGAGAATAATAGTATCCAGAGCCTTTCTGAGCACAATACACAGCATGGCACACAACCATGTGGCGGAAACAGGAAGATCCATCTGCTGCACCCCCACAGGAACTCAATGCTCTTGCTGAATATGTGTGTGTGTGCGTGTGTGTGTGTGTGTGGTTCAGGTTTAATTCCAGCTACTCACCTCACATTTGGGCATGCAGAATTCGAAGGAAACTGCACACAGCTCCCATTATTACCCTCCTTGCAATTGTAAAACAGTGCTATGGAAAGTTTGACAGCTGTTCAAATCCTCCTTTGGTTGCTGCTACAGAAGGTGAAGTAACTACCTCTGGGAGGGGGTACATGACGAACTTTGCTAGCAACCTACAGAGACTGGTGCCCTTCTTCTGCCGCAGATGTGGGACCAGGTCCTATCTAAGCAAGAATCAGCCTCGGCAGAGGTTTGAGTAAGAGCCTCCACCCAGCTATATGCAGATGGAAGAAAAATAGTACGCAGACACCGGTATGAGGTAAACAAGGAGTAAATGTTCATTGAGAAAGAAACCAAGACCGGTGGAATCCAAAAACATACTTCCTGGGCAGCATTTCCTGACCTAAAGCCAAAACAAAGGCCATCTTTATTTCTTTAGAAAACATTTTCAACTCCTCTTCTCCGGCGCAAACTAGATATGACAAAAGAAACCGTGTTTGTTTAATT